AAGGAGAGGAGGTCACTGTCGCTAAGAGATTGGAGACTAGGTTGACGAAGGGATGGGGCTTGAGTATGGAGCACTGCAGGGGACAAGCACATGCGGGGTCTGGTATAATTGGCACCAAGATGAAGGTCATCGCTGCCCAACTCAAGGAGAAATATCCCATGGCGGTGATCACGCCCACTTCCACCTGTGCACTCAATGTTCATCTTGCTAATGGCATGCCATTGACTGGAGTGCAAGATGTGATGTCCATTCTGAAGAAGACGAATGCGTTTTTTAAAGCGTCTCCGTTGCTGCAGAGCGAACTTGATAATGCTGTCTCCATCCTGTGTCAGGGAAACATAGAAAAAGAAAACATTCTCAAAGAGGACTCGCGTTCAACCTGGACTGATCTTCATAATGTGTTTGAGATGGCCGTCGATTTGATGGAGCCGCTTCTGCTGTGCATGGACAGCATACACGACAATGAGGATCTGAAGTGGAATGGCCAAATAACCAGTGACGCTTACGCCATTGCTGAGGCCTTGGCGGACTTTGAGTTCATTGTGACGTTGGTTATTTTGAAGAACGCATTGTCTTTTACGAGAGCTTTTGGTAAGAACCTACAAGGAGAAACCATTGATGTGTTTTTCGCCGCCAACAGCTTAACAGCAGTACTGCATTCATTGCACGAGGTATCGGACAATCTCGAAGTATACCATGAATTCTGGTTCGAAGAGGCGGTCAGTTTGGCGACTGCAATGGAGATCCCAGTGAAAGTCCCGAGGTTGTTTCTTCGGAAGCAACAGGCAGTGGAGACCATGGAAATACAGGCGGAGTCGTTCTTTAAGGAGTATCTCACTCTGCCGGTTATGGAGTACATCACGCAGGAGGTCAAGGACATCTTCTCTGAGAATCATCTCAAGGCGCTCAAGTGCTTGTCTCTCGTCCCCGCAGTCATGGGCCAAATGAGGTTTAATACCTCCGAGGAGACCCATGCCGACATTTACAGGAGCGATTTGCCCCATCCAGACACGCTGCCTGCTGAACTACATTGTTGGAGAATAAAATGGAAACACAGAGGGAAGGAAGTAAGCTTGCCATGCACCATTCACAAAACCCTTCAGCACTCTGATGTGAAGTTCTTCCCCAACGTTAATGCGTTTTTGAAAATATTAGCCACGTTGCCGGTGCTGAAGCTAGATGGGAATCACGGTGAAACCGCCCAAAGACGCTTACAAGCTTACCTCACAGACACTGCGGTACACCAAAGATGTAAGAATCTGGCTGTGCTGAACATCAATTATCATATAAAAACAGACCTGGAAGAAATGATTGAGTGTTATTTAAAAACTTACTCAGAAGAAAGTGAGAGTGATTAACAGGTCAAATGTATAGACTCTCCGAGTTTCAACTGCAAAAATCTTTGAGCTGGAAATGAGTTGTATAATTGTTTTGCATACCATTTTGTAATTACCCTTTGATTTTCATGACAATGCCAATTGTTTATTTTCATGTGTCTTTTCCCCCTGGAGAAATATAGTACTATTTTTACATTTGTGAGGACCTTCAAAAGATTCACCGTGTAAGTATCTGCAATTTGCAGAGTGGTCTTGCATTTTGTTTGCTTGACTTTCTTGACTTCACTGATAAATGACAAAAATAACTTTGAAAATCAACCATTAAAGACATGTTTGTGTTTGTATAAACTGGTCCAAAGTGTAAATAAAATGAAAGCACTTTTGATGCTATCTTCTATATAAGGATGTCATTTCTTTCTACTGTCACAGGGTATACACTACTGCAGCTAGCCTATAATATATATTTACTTGGTAGCCATAAAAAAAGGTCCCATTAGTTAACACTAGTTAATGCATTAAATAACAGTAAGCAAAACAGTTGCTACAGTATTTATTCACCTTTGTAAGTGTTATTTAATAAAAATACAACTGTTCTTTGTTAGTTCTTCAGGTCCATTTAATATTAATAGATCCATAATATATTAAAATATACATCTTTTAATTTTAATAATGTATTAGTAAACATTGAAATTAACATTAGTTAAGGTAAATACTAATACAGAATTTGATATTCATTGCTAGTTCATGCTGACTAATGTATTTATCCAGTGTCAACAAATGAAACCTTAAGTGTTACCATTTACTCTTTGGGAATGTATTGGTATATTTATTACTATGAAAAACAGGCACTGAAACAGGTTGGAAATTCATGTATCAATATTGGTGGTAATTGCAACAACCTTCTTTAACCAGATTAATTTTAGTCTTGCTCCAGTATATCCAACTAAACAGTTTCGCATAAAAATACAAAAGATGCACTGCACTGCTTCATGCAGACAGCATTCTGCCTCCTTCTGTATCTTTTTTACACAATGTGGTAACGAATGCAACCAAAATAGTTATATTTTGTGAGCACCATCGGTTTATCGAGATCACTGTCTTTAATAATGTTTAGTAAATATTTTGTAAATGCAATAAAACCTATTTGCAATGCAAATGCCAAATGCTTACAGTGCATGAATAACATCTGTTGCTTTGTATTTAGAGTCAATTCCACTTTGGTCCTCAAGAGAGCAGCATTTGCAAGTATGTATTTTCTTAAAATAAATGATGCCATTTTAAACTACTTTAGTGTCAATAGATGGGTGGGTTCAATTACAATACAAAGGTTTGTTAATGAGGGCGTACTAAACCTTAAATCACATTTAAATCACCAAGGAGCTGCTGCAGGTCTCATATTGATTCAAGCGGGTTTGTGTCCATGTGCGTGTAAATTAAAAGCAACAACAACAAAAAAACTGCAAAATGTACATTGTTGCCATACTTACTTTTCATCCCACTACTGATTAGAGGGAAAAGACAAAAGAGTGGAAATTTGAGGATACAGAACAGCAGGCAAAACAGATTGTGCATGTGTGCAAATAATCTCTCATCCAAAAAAATCCATTAGAAAGGCTTCCACTAAGGTTTCTGATGTCAGGTTTTTTCTTGTCACTTTTGCCACTTTGAAGTCTGCTTCTGGAATTTCTGACATATTTTAATTGAGGTAAGGCATTACTTTACAGTTTGGCCATGCATTGTGAATGCAATGTAAGTTAGATGGAGAGCACTGGGAGCATCACTGGATATCTGCACTGAGCTAACTGCCCCACCCCATGGGTTACACAAGGAAACACACATGCACATGCAACACATGCTGCTATCATTGCAGGCACCACTAGATGGTATGTTGTACACATGTAAGAATGAAAAGAACAAAAGAAAAGTGGATGTAGCTTCATTCATGCAGGGTGGGTCCGATATCCACCCCAAATTTCAAAACCATACATGCATATCATGTTTAATTGGCCAATAGCACCTAATAGAAAGTTGCAAACAATACAATATCACAATTTGATATGGTAGTTAGGACATATATTTTGCACATGTACGTGTTTTTAATTTATTCAATAATGCAATTTTGTTATAATCATTCAGTACTTAATTCAAACTGAGACCGTTGTCCCTTTGGCATATGTGCTCATAATTGTATAAGACAGTAAATCTCAATAATACATATAGACGTTTTAAATATTGTAAATGGCAGTTGTATCTGCATTATTATATGTTTTTATAGTTGACAACTGTAAAATACACCAACAACTCGTTTTAGAACCGTATAGGCTATGTCATATGTTATGAACCGGTCTTCAGATCAACAAGTCCCAGAAACATGTAGCGTTCGCTGGCAGAAATGGTTGAAGTAGTGGGTGGATGTGGATGTGTTACAGTCTTGAAATGGTTAAATGAGCGACGTCTCCACCCGATGCTGGCCAGGCGCTGACGGCTGCAGGTGATAGTTCACTCCGCAGACCACGATGCCAACAATGTCCCTGTCTAATCACTTTTACATTCATTTTAAGTAAATATTATATGAAACTGTTCTGTTGCATCATTCTTTTGCTTTCATTTCATTGTTGCATTATGTATATGCATTTTATCAGCAACTTTATTTGTAATCCTGTTTTCTACATATCACCATTTAGAAACTCAGTAAATATATGCTTATTTCAACTGTAAACTGTTCTTAAAACTCATAAAACCCATACATATTAGCAGACAAATATTTCCTGATTACCATGAAATGATAAAATTGATAATCAGCTCCCTTGTTGGGGGCTGCAATTCTGTATATTCTAGATTTGGGGGAACCAACCTTAGAACTTGTCATAGAAAAGCCCTCATTTATACGTCAATCTGATTATTGGGTACCTTTCTATTTTAAACCAATATTTAGTATATCAGATCACTGCAGCTAATGTAACCTTATCTAAGCACAAGATACAAGGAAAGATTTAGATCCAGTCTTTGAAAAATATCGAGTCACCAGTGTAATTTCCTCTCTGTGGGTGTCTGAGCTTTTTTCCCCCCACCAAAATATGTCGAGTCATTCTTGAGTTTTCAGATCATTTTGTGCACACTCACTCTGCATAAAGCTGTAATACAACACCTCAGTGTCCCAATTAGTTTGTCCTTATTTCTTTACAAGGCATCTGTTTTGGTAGAGTAATTATGCTGAATATTGACTTTACTAACTCAGGTCAGAACCTCAATTTTAGATGGCATCTAAATAAAGCATATACATAAGGGAAGTCGTGGCCTAATGGTTAGAGAGTCGGACTTGTAACCCAAAGGTTGTGGGTTTGAGTCTCGTATCGGCAGGGATTGTAGGTGGGGGGAGTGAATGTACAGCGCTCTCTCCCACCTTCAATACCACGACTGAGGTGCCTTTGAGCAAGGCCCCGAACCCCCAACCGCTCCCCGGGTGCCGCAGCAAAAATGGCTGCCCACTGCTCCGGGTGTGTGTTCACTGCTGTGTGTGTGCACTTTGGATGGGATAATTCCGAGTATGGGTCACCATACTTGGCCACAAGTCACTTTCACTTCACTTCACTACATTACCTCATGGTTGCTGATCTGTTATCTTTTGTCATGTTATTTGTTTTAGTCTTCTGACAATGAACAATGAACCAGTTTTGATTACGCTATGTATAATTATTTCAGCCTAAGATTAATTTACAAAATCTCTGTGTTTCTCTAGGACGGAGTTCAAGGCTTATAGAGGTGTCAAACCAGTGAAACTCATCAAAGCGAAATCTCAGTACAAACTCCTAGTGGAGGAGAAGACCAACCTGGAGACCAGTTATAGTGCCACCTTTAAAGGAGAGCAGGTCAAACCTCATGCCACAGACAACAAGCTGTTGGAGCGCCGTCGGATACGTAGCCTGTATAGTGAACCAAGCAAAGAGTCCAGCAAGGTAGGGTGCTTTCTCAGGTGCCCTCTTTTATTACCATAGTGATGAACTCAATAATGTCAGATATGAGGGTTATCATCAGAAACTTAATTATACTGTGAGAGGTGAAATTGTAATGCAAGATTATGAATTTTTCAGAAATATTTTATTAATATGAGGCTCCAACATCTGTCACTCTAATGCTATCAGTTCTGAGATAGTTCATCCATTTATTTACCCTCATAACATTCCATGCAGTGTTATTTTAGTATTATTTGTAAACTATTATAGTTATTTTCAGATTTCAGTCTAAGTAATTTTATGTGCTTTTGTAATTTTTATTAGTTTTTGTTAATATTTCTATATCATTTTATTTTATTTAAATTTTTGTTTCAATTTTAGTTTTTAGTATTTTTAGAACTTCAATCTAAACATTTTATTTCAGCTAGTTGTGGACGCAAAATTTCTCATTTGTTTATGTTTAAGTTTTTCATCTGATATTTTATTTTATTTTGTTTTATTTCAGCTTTATTTTAATTTAGAACTTCAATCTAAACATTTTATTTCAGCTAGTTGTGGACGTAAAATTTCTCATTTGTTTATGTTTAAGTTTTTCATCTGATATTTTATTTTATTTTGTTTTATTTCAGCTTTATTTTAATGAATGAAAACAATTTTAATAGTTTTAGTTAACAATAACAACACTGACTGCATGACTTATTTTCTTAGGAGACGTTTTGAAGAATTGTACTGGTTGCCATTTGCCATGCCATTAACCCCCATGGGTATGGGACGTTCCAGCTTAAAAAAGAAGGCAAAAATACAAAAAGTGGCATTTGACAATCTTCCCAGCCAGTGAGCTATTAACTGCTGTGACCAGATCATTGAGTCTGTGAGTGGAATCCGAGAACCAGATCAGTCGTGAGTCATTCTAAGTGGATCAAGATCCAGCTTAGAGGAATAGCTCACCCAAAACTGAAAATTTGCTAAAAATGTCCTCACCCTCAGGACATACACGATGTTTGTTTCTTCATGAGTTTGTTTCTTTATCAGAACAGATTTGGAGAAATTAGCATTACATCATTTGCTCATCAGTGGATCCTCTGTAGTGAATGGGTGCCGTCAGAATGAGAGTCCAAACAGCTGATAAAAACATCACAATAATCCACCAGTAATCCACACAACTTCAATCCATCAATGTCTTTTGAAGTGAAAAACTGTGCATTTGTAAGAAACTTGCAAATTTCTCCAAATCTGTTCCAATTTAAAAAATGTCCAAATCATGGATGTCCTGTGGTTGAGTACATTTTCATTTTGGGGTGAACTATTTCTTTAAAAGAACGATTTGTTCATGGATCGGACATCAGGGGCTTTATTACAGAAACATTCTTACTCAGAATCTCTTTCATTAGAACATTTCGAATATTAAGTAAAGAATTAAGATTTCTAGTCCTGAGTAGTACATGCTTCAAAATTTCTTCATTCGTCTTCCACAGAAGAAAGTAATACTAGTTTGGAAATAAAAATAACTGAATTTTCATTTTTGGTCAAATTATTCCTTTTTAATGTAAAAGCAAATATGTTAAACAAGGAGAGTTTTTTTAGTGTTGATGTGCATGTAATGTGTTGATGTAGCCCCTCCCTCTCTCACTCTCATAGGACTGTTCTGACAGTGACAGCAGCTCTGTTCTGTAGTCAGGTGTGTTCAGTGATTCTTTTGGACAGCATGGATCTAGAGTATTTCACCATACAGCTGCACCATCACAGAGATCCTCAGTGGGATCAATTCGGATTAAATCCCCTTCACAATGAGGATTTTCTGAACACTACGCTTTTTTTTTCTTTTGCATGAAACAATAGTATCTTCACTATCAAGAGGGGCTCTATTTGGAGTATGCAGAACAAATCACATCTTGTTTTAAACACTTCATCTGCATTGAGCACATTCAATAAGGTCCGAAAATCACATCCTAACACGTATTGCTGTCATGAGATACTAACTTGTATGCCACAGTACTAATTGAAACATGATTCACATTTTCAAAATTCTTTTATTGACATCATTTTACACTGGAGGGCCAGTGGTTGTGTTCCGACTGTAAATTACACACTTTTCCTGTTTATTTATTTGTTTCCTAACTGTATGGCCCTCAGAAGGTCTGAGTGCTTACCATAAAGGTTTGTGGGTAAAAATGACAAACTACATTACACTACTGTTCAAAAACTTCGGAAGTCGGAATGATTTTTAATGCTTTTGAATTAAGTCTCTTTTGCCCACCAAGGTTGCATTTATTTGATAAAAAATACAGTAAAACAGTAATATTGTGAATTATTATTATTATTCAAAGTAACTGTTTTCTATTTAAAATGCAGTTTATTCCTGTGATGGCAAAGCTGAATTTTTCAGCTGCCATTACTCCAGTCTTCAGTGTCACATGATGCTTCAGAAATCATTCTAATGATATATTTTTTTCAGGATTATTTGATGAATAGAAAGCTCAAATGAAATAGAAATCTTTTGAAATTTTGAAATAGAAATCTTTTGTAAAATTATAAATGTTTTTAAAGTCACTTTTGATCAACTTGCTTGCTTGATTAATACATTTTACTGACCCCAAACTTTTGAATTGTAGTGTATATGGTAAAAGTAATAAAGTATTTTTATTTTTCATGTTTATTTTTAAAAACAAACAGGAATAGTTAAATTATATATATATTTATCAGTTTGGAATAATGCACCAAAATGTCTAAATTTTTGTTTCTGTAGGTGGAGAGGCATAATATATCACTTTCCAAGCCAAAAAAGACAACAAGCCATAGCAAAACAATGAAAAAATTAAAGGAGAAGCCAATCGCTGGGAGTCAAGCTGCCAAGAAGAAAACCTCAGTGAGCAACCAGGAGCCAAAGTCAGAGGGAGGGGTCACCAAGAAAAGCAAAGAAATTATCAACAGACTAGCTGAGGCAAAAGATTAAGTGCACTTTTGTGTTTGGGGGGGGCGGGGGGTTGGGTTGAGGAGGCTATACGGAATAGAGGACTCTCATCCCCTTGTTCATGACCTTACTCTAATGGCCCGACTCTGATGGTGTCTTTACCTACGTATTGTAGTGGATCAAGGCTTGTCTGCTTGATTTGTCTTGACTGTGTGGCCACTGTCCAGTCTATTATGAATCTATCTTTGCTTTTGCCCTGTGTCTGCTCCCTTTCCATATACATCAATAGCTTTCTCTGTGGCAAAGATGGTTCATGGATCCTTGTTGCATGCTGCCTCTGAGCAAATGGCCAAATGCCTAGTTATTATATAAGATAAGGTTTTTGCTTTATCTTGCATTGAAAAATATTTACTGCAAAAATAATGGTCTTTTCTTTCAAGCAATCTAATTCAATGTGATATGGACTTAATTTGAAGTATATGGACCATTCTAATTAGATGCACCAATAGCATTGCTCATACACTAAGATGTAATATTTGTCACCACACATTTGGATTATAACAGTGTTGTATTCCTCGCAAACGATCAGCAATGAACACAAGAACGTCTTAACATCTCAAACTGCATGTTTAAAGGTTGTGTGACAGTGTTACACCTGAAATTAGCAGTTAGGAGCCTCACACGTCAACAAGAGTACCATGTTTAACAAATGAATATGATCCAGCTTCACTTTTAAGATTAAAAAAAGAGTATTTCAGATCTTTCGACAACAGTGCCAGTCATTTTTAAACAAACTGAGGCATGGTCTCTCTTAAAATGTTATTGTTACCGTGTAGTGTAGAGCATTATGCTATGGAGACATATTTACGCTTAGCTTGCTCTGCTCTCAATAAAGCAACATTTAGATGCTATGTCATGCTATGTAATAAGAGAATTTACTGATGTAAACCTAAAACTGCCTGCTTTCCTTGCATATGCTGTAATATGGATGATTGAATTGGGAAGAATGCTGCTAAGCATACAGCTGAGGTCCATGTGATTGACAGACCGAAGCATGCCCATCATAGTCATCTGTATGTTAATCATCATTCTGACCCGATCTGAGGGGTGAGAGCCCTCTCAGTGTAAATCTACAGCCTCTTGGTCCCGAGCTCCTCCTGGGTTGTCCTACACGTGCTGTGCACACCATTCTAGGTGCTATCCTCAAGCTATGCTTTCCATAACAGTAGTGCCTGTATATTGAGCAACATAGGGCCATCAGATGTCCAAGTGATAATTCTAAGTGTGATGTGCTTGTGTTGTGAGCTTGCATTGAATGAAATTGATTAAAATCCTTAAAGCAATACATTTGCGATGTGGTTTGTGACATCGAAATTTCATGGTTGATAAATCTCGTGGCATCATGTTTTAATGGAAAATGGCCTCATGCAATATAAATCTTTTAACAGAACAGGAAATTGTAATTATTTATTTAAAACACACACACACATGTATCTATGTGTGTGTCCACAAATGTATGTGTATTTAAAAAAAATTAAATTATATATTTTACACAAATCAACACAAATCTTTCGATTAAACAGGAAATTGTAAGTAATTATTTAAAACACACACACACATGTATCTATGTGTGTGTCCACAAATGTATGTGTATTTAAAAAAAATTAAATTATATATTTTACACAAATCAACACAAATCTTTCGATTAAACAGGAAATTGTAAGTAATTATTTAAAACACACACACACATGTATCTATGTGTGTGTCCACAAATGTATGTGTATTTAAAAAAAATTAAATTATATATTTTACACAAATCAACACAAATCTTTCGATTAAACAGGAAATTGTAAGTAATTATTTAAAACACACACATGTATCTCTCTATAATATACTATACTATAATACACTATATATGTCCACATATGTGTGTGTATTTAAACACACGTGTGTGTATATTCATTTTTGTATTGTTTTTGTATTTGTTTTATTGTATTTATTTTAGTTCTAAACAAATTGGTTCTTTGACTTGAGGGCCTTTTCTACACATGACTGAAGCATACTAGAGAAAAACTGATCCACAATAATTATTTTTTTAAAGAGACAAAATAAACTAATTTATGTGATGCTATTGATAAAACTAAACGAATCTTACACTTTAAAAACACAGATGGGGATGGTGGTGCTGCCGGCCTTCATCTCAGAAAAGAAACATTGCAGATTCACTGGACTCCAAGCAGCGACTCAGTCGTCCTCACAAAATTCAATAAATAATTAAAGTCTCAAGCTCTGCATAGTGTTGGCTGCACGAATACTGTTTGGGTGTGGTATAGTGAAAATGAAGACAATGGGGCAATGTAGCTTCAAATCAAAAATGTGAAAAGCATCAATGAAACTCATTCAAATGTACAACATCCCAGCTCTAAAGGTAGAGAACAGCACAAAAATGTCACATTCTTAAATCCAACTACTTCTAATCATATTTCAATAAACATTAGAATGAATTGCCCTAACATCTTTTTTTTTTAATATATGAAAACATGTCCTCACGTGCCCCCCAGTGGTTATTTTGAGTGCTGTTATTTTAAATGCATTTCTCCCACTTGTTTTTCTATTTTGAAACATAAATAAAACCAATAAAAATGACATCTATTGATTATATGCATATAACATAATACCAGTAACAAACTTTGCAAATAATAAAAGCAGATCATTTTATTTGATGTTTATGAACTCCAATAATACTAATAATTGTATAATATATGTTTCTTCTTGTTCTGTCCAAATATACTGTAATGCACTTCCACACCGTTGTAAAACTATATTTACTTTAATCTTTCTGAAATTTCTCATGTCAGCAGAAAGATTCAGGCAGGCTTTTATTTTGTCTGTGACACGGAAACACACGTCACGAGTCACGACCGTCTCCATCCTCTCAAACAAACAAATTACCCGCGTTCCTGTCTGTCTCCTCGTCCGCTCAACGGACATGAAGTTTTAGGCAATTTACTTTTCCAAACAACGAAGCAGTTTTACAGAACAGAGTCCAGTTACTCAGTATATTTTAAGACTATGTAATTTTCCTTTACACTGATGACTGAATGTGTGCGCGCGCTTCTGAGCCTCGACCAGTTAATAAAACTGAACTCGCAACTGATCCTCAAACCAGCCCGTGGCTCATTAACATTAGAGTAAGTGACTTTAATCATTCATAACCTCTCTGGCAGTATCAGGGTGTTGTATTGAGATTTGTTGGCTTGTGTATGGTGAAGTAAACGACAAGCACTCGACCTTGTTTACATCACGAGTAATTAAACGTTTGTTTACATCGCACGAGCTGACGTCTTATACTTGTTTTAAAGGCACGGTAAGAGTGTTGTCATTACTATCTTTAGTATTCTGAAGCTTTTATTGATGTAGTTGTTCGCCTTCTCAAAGGTTAAGATGGCAAAAAGAAGAAATGTCTCTAAAATAGTGGTGGCATGCGCGTGGGTATCATGCACTTTCAAGAGTCAAAGCATGGAGGAGTTGAGTGAGCATATGTCTCTACATCTGAAAGAGCATCTTGGGGAAGGAGATGCAATGGAGGAACTGGGTAGGACATTGTAATGCATGCATAAGTAGACAAATAAGGCAGATCTTTAATGCAGTGTTTGTGACAACATTTGAATTGTTTATAAATCGTAGTCAGTGCATATATTAGGACGATTGTGTTGTGTGTGTTTGATATCTTGTCTGTTATAGAGGATTATCCATGTCTATGGAGGGGCTGTGAGTTCCTGGCGATGGGAAGCCAAAGTGAGCTGATCGCTCATGCCCATTTCCACATCTTCCACAGCAAGCTGAAATACATTGGGACTCAGCTTCTTGAATCCCACCCCGAACTGCCTAGTTGCACTCAGGATCTTCACAGCAACAGCCTAGTCCCAGATGTCTCTGAGGGGTTCGTCTGTCAGTGGCAGCACTGTGATGTTAGTATTGTAGCATGTTGACTTCTGTTTTACTTTAAAGGAATAGTGTACCCAAAAATGAACATTTGCTGAAAATTTACTCACCCTCAGGCCATCCAAGTTTTTTTTTTTCTTCATAGGAACAGATTTTGAGAAATCACTTGCTCAGCAATGGATCCTCTGCAGTGAATGGATGCCGTCAGAATGAGAGTCCAAACAGCTGATAAAAACATCACAATAGTCCACAAGTAATCCACACAACTCCAATCCATCAAGTCCTCTGTCCATAATATTGATTTCTCGAGTGAAAAAATTTGGTCTTGCCTGAATCATTAGAAAAATATTCACATTTTAAGTGCCGATTACAAACAAAAACAGTCCTAAACAAATATGTTAGTGGATTTTGATTTGAAAGGACAACAGGGGATGGACTTTTTCCACTGGAGGAAATGTTATTATGAAGTATGTACAGGCATTTTGGCCAGAACTGATGGTTTAAAGTTAAAGATGAGTATGTTCTTTTTGACGGCACCCATTCGCATCAAAGGATCCATTGGTGAGCAAGTGATGTAATACTAAATTTCTCCAAATCTGTTCCGATGAAGAAGCAAGCTCATCTACATCTTGCATGGCCTGAGGTTGACTACATTTTCAGCAAATTTTAATTTTTGGTTGAAATATTCCTTTAACTTAGACATTATATAATGAGCTTGTCTATTATTTATTTATTTATTTTGCTTTATCAGAGTTCATTTAATAACCCTGAGTGGTTCTACCATCATGTTGACATGCATGCACACTGCACTGAGCTCCAGCCCCTTCCTGATCGACAGCAGGCTCTTTTCTGCAGCTGGTCAGGTAGGCGCTGAAAGCAGGAATGTTTCACCAGTGTTTAAAATGTTCCTATGTGAAACATTTTTGCTCTTTTTGCAGACTGTGATGCTTTCTTTAAAATCAAGTACCGCCTACGTGAGCATCTGCGCAGTCATACACAGGAGCGGCTGGTCGCTTGCCCCACCTGTGGCTGTATGTTCTCCAGCAATACTAAGTTCTTTGACCATATCCAGAGACAAGCAGAACCAGAAGGTCAGTTTATTTAGGATCGTTTCTCTTCACTCGCTGACAATATAGCAACTCTGATGTTTAAGAATGTCCATTAAATATCACTTAAGTCTGTAGTTGTTTTATAAAGACATTTTATTACAGATTCTCTTACATGTGGACACTGTGACAAAGCATTTGCCAATGAGAGGCTGCTGAGAGACCATGTTCGTCAGCATGGTGAGTTAAAGCTTGATAAGTAATTTAAACTTTTGAGATGGGGATAGACAATATATCAATACCATATCAGTTACTGGCTGACATTAGAGATTTAAAGGGGTCTTGAACTGCATTTAAAAATATATATATTTTTTTTTGCATTTTAATGTGTTTTTTAAGAGGTGCACTTATAATGTTACTATGATTTTTACATTAAAAATTGTCAGAATTTTCAAATAAAGGCATTTTCTGCCTAGATTTTAGCCCTCTGATTTGAACGCTCTGCTGGAAGGGTGTATGGGTGTGTCTGCTGTGAGACTTCAATGGAAACGCCCATTGCTATGATTAGCTGCCATACAAAATAAGTATTACATGTGGAACTCTCTCTAAAACTTTTACTACATTTTTACTATTACAGCTGTTGAGATTAACTAATCATGAAAAGTGTTGATTATAGCATTATATTTAGATCTACTCCCATCACATGAAAGGTTCATTGTAGTAGATGAAAGACTGTTGAGCGCATGAATGCTGCGATCTTGTCATTGCAACATGAGATTTGCGCTTTCACGGATGCTTTTATCATAACTACCAGTGCAAACATGATGTAAATAAGAGATTCATTGTGCAGTGTAGACTGCACATAAATTGATAATAAATTTGCGCTGTGTGATTAACAGCTCCAGCGATTATAAAGGGAGCATTCTTTGATCTTTTCCGTATATAATTTAAATTTAAATAACATTATTTTCATGCTACTAAGAGAAACAACATGTAGTAGTCACTGGCTTGATTTGCTGATGCATAAACAGCAATAAATTATTTTGAGACGAAGAACATCTGACTGTACATGAATCATTACATATAAGAAATCACTGATCGCAGATTAAGCATTAGAATGAACACAGTTACTTGCATGTTGTGGTAATCCTGTTGGATCGGTGTCTTACAGTAAAAGTCTGTTTGCAAAGCCTGCGCCAAAACTGCGACTGATTTACCAAATAATCTTCAGTGAAATGTACCGAACAAACAAATAATGCACTGAGACATCCACATATTTGAAAATAAATAAGCACTTTCCTAGGATTAAAATCCTTTGGAAGGTAATGTTATTTTTAGTCTGGTGAACCTGTATTGCTCTTCTCTCCTTATCTCACTAACACTCCAGTGGGTGGGGCCAAAGGCGCAATGATCTGATTCTGCAGCGGTGGTCTTTCGCTGCACTATTATGTCATAAAGTGGCAAAATCTGAAACAAGTCATTTTCTGAGCTTGGTTTCAATAAAAGCTGTTTTTGGACTGACGAGGAAGTTTTGAGCTCTAAAACTTACAAGAAGTTTTTATAGTACAATGACCTTAAAAGATCAAGGAAAATTTGAGGTTACACTTTACTTGAAGGGGTGTGTATAAGACTGACATGACACCTTCATAATCATGACATGACACCTACATAATCATGACATGACACATGTCATGAATATGAAGGTTTTTTATGCGTGTTTATGACAACTGTCATTAAGTGTCCATTTGCTCAGTTATGTAATTTTTAATGCAAAGATGACATTGTTTGAGATGTCTTTGTTATGGGCTATGGTTAGGGGTAAGGGTAGGGTTAGGTTAGGGTTAGGTCAAATAATGTCATATTTGCATTAAAAATGACATAACTGAGCGAATGACACTTAATGACAGTTGTCATAAACATGCATAAAACCTCCTTCATATTCATGACATGTGTCATGTCATGATTATGAAGGTGTCATGTCAGTCTTATGCACACCCCTTCAAGTAAAGTGTTACCAAATTTGATTTCTCAATTCATGACCCCTTTAAATTTATTGGATATGAAATTGTGCATGCACATTTCCTGATTTTACATTTACATTACATTATAATATAATTTACATTGTACATTATAATGTAATTCTAAAATATAGATTTTAGTTTTAATGTTCTATATATATATATATATG